TCTCACTATGGCAGTGGGAGCACCTTTCAGTTTGCACAGTGATGTGCTCCAATGGGGCAGGGAGGCAAAAACCTGTGCCTTCACTCCGGGGCCAGCACTGCCGCACCATCGCAGCCGTAGCAGCGCCTGCAGTTGCGCAGTGAAGGGCTCAGCGAAGGACGCGCCCCGAGGCCCCGTGCTCTTCCCCAGGGGCCTTCAGGCCATATCACGGCAAACAGAATTCAACGGTGGCTCAGTCAGAATAAATCCCGGGGGGGGGGGAGTCACTCCTCGCATCAAACTACTGGTGACCCACATGGTGTGAATGCAGGTGGCCCAGGCATATCAGTTCCCCTTCTCTACGTAAGGCCGAACTACGCGGGAACTCATGCGCAAGCGATCATCCCTGATCGGGGGGTGGCATTTGACTCCTTCCCTCCCTTTAAGGGCAGAAAGCACCAAAACCAGTGACAAAGAGGCCCTCTCTGAAGGGGCCGCTTGCGTTGCAACGGGAGTTGGCCCTGCGCGGGTTGGAGGCTTCCCTCGGAGCGGAAATTGCATCCTCTTCTGGGAACCCTGGCAGGGAGCAGGCAAATCACGCCGTTCCTCCCGGTGCCCCAAGTCCCAAGACTGTGAAGGCCTCTGCAGATCAGCCATGTCCATTACAGACATGGGCTCATGTTGCCATCCCAAGACACACGGGGCCATTTGCATCGCCCAAATCGCTGCCCAAATCAGAGCTGTGTGATTCGTCCACCTCTGGAAATATTCATATGCTGCATCATTGGAAGGGGAGAAGAACAATATCAAAGGAGAGTCAACATGGGCCAAATTTAAGTGACACTGAAAACACATCCGGGAAATCCAATGGAAGCCATTTTCCAGAGAGATGATGTACAGAACCAATGCTGTGCTTTTCTTTGTTTTATAGTCGGACTGTTCAGAGGCCGATTGGTAGTGGATGGAAGGCAAGAGTTTTAAATCAATAATGCATGCATACATGCGTGTATAAATATAAAGTTTGCTTTGTATTGTGCACGAGGGCCCGGGAAGGGTGTGCCGGTTCAGGTGACCACTCTTCAGCACACTGGGGAACCCTTCTGCAGAGCACTTCAGGTGCGATTGAAGCCTGTTTCTACTTAGTCATGCCAGGAGGTTGGAGACACCCAATGCAAAGTCAAGGGATCATAGCCGCATTTGCTCAGAAATGGCTCCGTGAGCAGCGGAACCAATGAGATGGGAGCCGATTTACATGCAGGCCGAACCAATACGCCCCGCCCATCAGCTCAGGGGATGGATATAAATGGAAGTGCCTGGAGGAAACGGCAGTGCTTAGGCCTTCCTTCTCGTACTGCTGGGGACTCGGATCTCTCCGCCATGTTCTGGGCTCCCGTTCTCAGCCTCCTAGTGATGTGGGGCACAGGTGGGGCAGGCTCCACACCCTCCGACCTTCCCAAATTTAAGATGAGTCTGAGGCTGGTGCTGATGTGACGCTCTCTCCCCTTCTCTTCTCCCAGGTTCCCGCTCCCAGCTGGTGCTCACTCAGCCTCCGTCCGCATCCGTGTCCCTGCAGGGCACTTCGAAACTCTCCTGCGCCTTCAGCAGCGGAGTCAGTGTCAGTGGCTACAATGTAACGTGGTACCAGCAGAAGCCTGGCAGCCCCCCACGATTCCTCTTGCGGTATTACTCAGATTCCAACAAGTACCAAGCCTCGGGGGTCCCCGCTCGCTTCTCTGGCTCCAAGGACACCACCACAAACAGTGGCATTTTGACCATCTCTGGAGTCCAGGCAGAGGACGAGGCCGATTATTACTGCGGAGCAGGTTATGGCAGTGGCAGCAGCTGGCAGTTGGCACAGTGATGCGCTCTGATGGGGAAGTGCGACAAAAACCTCCTCTCCGGTTCCCTCACACAGCCTGTGCTCATCCTGTAAGCAATGCAAGTACCAGCTCAGAGTAACAAAGGCATTCACACTGAGGTGATGACTCTCTCACCTCCTTTCCCACTTCAAGGCCATTTCCCCAAGGAAGATACTGTGGCTTGGCCTGTGGGACAGCATTGAGCACGTATTTTCTGGAAATAGAAGCATGAAGCCTCAGCAAACTGGGCAGGGGCAAAGGAACAGGAGCAGGAGCAGGAGCGTCCCTGGTGGTGCTCAGGTGCCCCTTGCCCGAGTGATGACAGACGGGATCACTGTCATGTCAGTTGCTTTGTTTGGGCGGACTCTGCTTTTGGCTGCAGTTAACCAGGCTGCTGTCCGGTTACTTTAGGGGCTCCCACAATACCCTCCCACCCACTTCTAGGCTTCATGCTGTTTCCGTCTGCAGTAAGGAATTCTGAAAGCTACCTTGAGTTCCTCAGTGGGAAGAAGGTGGAACCAAAATATGACGGATTAATACTTAAGAGAGAACCAGGAATGAAGACAGGCACCTTCTCACATGGTATTGAAATCCACACTTCCGTAAGCTCTCAAGATCTAGAACTATTTCTGCACCTCCACAATATGAAGGCGGCATCCCCACGTGTGAGCTGGGAGGTTGTGTGAGGGAGCATCTGCGTTCCGTGTGGGAGCTCCAAACTCTCATGGTCTGACCCTGCCAAGAAAGAAAAACTGCAATAATTCTTCACATTCAGAATTCCTCTTTGCGCTCAGATTGCTGAACAAAAGAGGCTCCCCATGCTTTGAACATGCTGCTCTGCTCCAGGGAAAGAAGAAGGAAGGATGGGAAACCCTGCAGGCCCTGAACTGTGCCTGCATCCATGCGTGCAGCCAGCAGAGGGCAGCCTTAGCCTAGAAAGCTGCACTTCTGAATATATTTGCTTAGAAATTCTACTATTCCGAAGGGAGGAAAGTATTGAAATACAGCAGTGCAGGAAGAGGAGAAGAACAGTATGTAAGGAAAGCCAAAGGGGGCATATTTTGGGTATAAATGGCACACAACCCAGGAAATTGAATGGAAGCCATTTCCAGAGATAGAAAGAAAGCAGTTTCCAGAGAGTGCATTATGCTAACAGACCGCAAGAATACAAATTAATTAATGAAGCAGAGGAATGAATGTGTGACAATTTATTTCTGTTGCGCAGTAGGGCCGGTGGAGGCTTTGCAGGTTCAGGTGACTACCAGTTCATCAACACAGAGGAAGCCTTCTGCAAAGTGCTTCCACCGGGTTTGAAGCCTGTTGCTACTTCAACAAACTAGAAGTCAGGGGATCTAAGCCCCATTCGCCCAGACGTGGCCCCACGAGCAGCAGGACCCATGAGGTGGGAGCTGATTTACATGCAGGCCGAACCAATACGCCCCACCCATCAGCTCAGAGGACTGATATAAATGGAAGTGCCTGGAGGAAAC